ATTGAGTATTAGAATTAGAGATTACACTTTTCCAGCTTCAAGTGGCAATCCAAAATGAAAAGTACGATGCTTAGCTTAGAATCCGTTACAAACCGAAAATTACAATCAAATTGTTCAAGTACAACCATAAGAAATATAAGCTGCTCAAATACTTTCAAACTTCACATCCTGTAAGGAAAACAAATAAACATGGGGTGAGCTAAAGCTCAGTGGTGCCCCAAAACATGCAGTCACGTAATTCAAACAGCGAGTAATAACTTAAACAAGTTAAACAATTAGGAAAGCGTGTAACAGCACAAGGTAGGATACAGGGGCTCTCAGGAGCCATTTTCCTCGCTTGAGCACCGTTTATCGTAGTTGACCCTCCGTCAACTTTCACTACCTATAATCCATGTAGATCCACTCATTTTAATCCTAACCCGTCACCATTCATACCCCTGTCCCGGGCCCGAACGTCGACTAAGGACGCAGTATACTCGAGGTATACTCGTAGATAATTGGTCGAGGGATTCACCCGACGACGTTTTTGTAGTTAGATTCAAGTGCCGAGGGATTCACCCAACGACGTAACTACTTTTAGATTCAAGGATTATTGTAGTTAGATTCAAGTGCCGAGGGATTCACCCAACGACGTAACTACTTTTAGATTCAAGGATTTACGAGAAAAATGATTCACGCAAGTCACCACTCGAACGGCTAGTGCGATAAAGTACACACTGATCACTTCGATGGATCAAAACTCATTTTGCAATATATCACATATCGAGTCAAGAAAGCACTTAATTCAAGTAGGAAAAGAACAGGCAGGAACACTCACCAAGAGTGGAGTTCAGATATCAGGTTGGGAGTCAAATTCCGCGTCCTCGCGATATCCTAAAAACCAAAATTTTGAAACCATAAGTTTCTATTCAGTTTTTAAACTTATTCGTATAAGAATTTATTTAATATAATACTAGTTTACTTTCTCAAGAGATTTCAAAAATCTATTTAGATTGAAGCTTGACAAAAGTAGTAGAAATGTTCCTTATTTTTCCTTAGAAGGGTAACTAGTATTACTTACTAGAAACAAGTCGACAAACTTCTCAAAATCATAGTTAGAAAGTTACTTTGAACATTTCCCTAAAGTTACGGCTTTTGCAGAAATTATCCTTAAAAACTATTTTTCCTAGAATAGGGTTTCTTGCCGAGCAAGTCTCCCAAGCTTTTCACTGGGATTAGTAAAACTAGTATTTTAAAACTTTTCCTATAGTTAACTATACAAGTGCAAGGCTTATAGGAAGGAAAAGAATTGAAATAAGACTTGGAGTTTCCAAAAGTTATAGAACTTATTTACTGAAGCTATCGGGCTGGTTTGAGCCGAAGGAAATTATTGAATTGGAAAGTTTTAGGCAAAACGCTAGATATAGAGTTTTATAATATCATACTAGCTGGAAAATATTTTTGGTTAATTTTGAACGCAGCTACTCGAGTTCGCAAGGTCTATACAATTTCCCCCCGCTCCGATTCCATTTCGAGATCATAAAATGGATCAAAATATGGCAAAAATCACATAGCAAATTACTAAGGCTTCGTCAATCATTAGCCCTAGCTTTCAACAATTGCATTTCTGAATAAAATAAAATGGTCAACCAAGGCTTCATCAATCATTAGCACTTGGTTTCAGCTAACCCAACATAAGCAAATAAAATACGAGTGGAGTCCCAAGACATTCCAGCAATTAACTTCCATCATCCAATACTACTTTATAAAAAATCATTTCAATGGCTAAGGGCTTCGTCAATCATTAGCCCTTAGCACCCAAGATATCAAATGACTCATTGCCAAACAGTTTTCACAGACTACGTGTGCATTTTGTCATGCATTTCGGGTTTCTAACACCCCAAGGAAGAATTCTAAAGTCAAGCTGAAGATTCTGGTTCATAATCAAATTCGAGCAACAGGATTAGACACCCCAAAAAAATTCAAGAATCTGTCTAGCAAGCCACGGGTGAATCATGCATGAAGGAATTTTCTGTTTTCACTTTATTTATTCAGGTGAAGCAGGCTATTAAACTCTCACTTCCTCATGCCATTACTTAGCTAAACAATGCACAATTCCCGTTCAGGGGTTGAAGTTAAACCACTGTTATAGTCTTCAAAATTTCCAGTTTCAAGTTAACGGCAATTCACAAAGAAATTCCAGCAATAACAATGGTTCTAAAACAGGATTTTCTTTGGTTAAAACAGAATTTTTGGTACTCTATTAGGACATGTAAACACGTAGCTAGCTAGTAAAGGTTTCCAAATCAAATCCAGGTTCAAGCTACAATTATACTCATCTAACACAAATCCAGAAATTATATCAGCTAGTCTCGAATGATCATCCATGAACCAATTTTTCTGCTTTCATTTTATTTTCTTGGTTAGCCGAGCTACTTGACCTCATGCAAGCTTTAATTAACATGTTGTTAACTGGCTAACATTTTTGGTTCAAGAATTAAATTCGAACAACAACAAGAGTCATCCAATTCTTCAAGAAAGATTCCAGCTAGCTTCGAAATACATGCATGGGACAGATTTCTGTTTTCGTTTTGTTTTTCTTGGTTAGCCGAGTTAATCATCCTTATGCCAGTCTCAAACATCATGTTGCTTGCTATATAAACATAGATATCCACTCAAATTATCACATTTAGTTACATTAGGCTGCACTTCAAAATTTCCAGCTCACGGTAATCCAATTCCTCAAACAGATTTTCTCACACCTCTGATTTCAACATCTGATCGAATCACTCTATGTGCAAGGCCATAATCCTCTCGTCTTGAGTTAGGTAACACAGCCGAAAGCTCAGGTTATCAATGGGGATAGTTAGGATTAAAATCACAGCTTGTCAAAATTAAGCAAATTAAGCAAATCATTTCCAAATTAGTCTCGGCAGAAAGTTTCCATCGAACCAGAATTTCCTAAGTTCCTTAATTCATCAATCAACTTCATAGAATTAACATGCAGAGTCCTAAGCATCTTAATCATTAAGTTTCACTCGGCTAATTACACTTGAGTGCTCAGGTTATCACATGAAAACAGAATTACAGCTACCTTTCCAAATCATTTCCTCGGCAGAAACATTTACATCAAAACAGATTTCTCATTCATTCTTCAACTTCATCTTCCGGATACATAGGTTGACATGCATGGTCTTAATCATAATAATCATCCAAGATCAGTTAGTTAATCACCAATGCATGCTCAAATCAATTCCAGAAAACACATTAGAGCTACATTCCTAACTCAGCTACTCGGCAGGGCATATAACCGAAACAGGAATTTTTCTAATATCTTAAATTCATCATCCGATGGTTCCACAGTACATGCATGCTTCAAGATAGCTCAAACTACCTCTGATTAGTCCTAAAATGATCCAGAATTTTACCTCACAGAAGCTCACTCACTCGACTGAATGCTGAGGTCTATCCCTCCCTCTCGGCTCTTCTCCTCACGCACGGCAAGCTGGTTCTGGTTGGGTTGCAGTGGGTGCAGCTAGTAATGGTGGAAGCTGGAAAACAATTGGCTGAGCTTGGAGAATGCAGTGGATAGTCTGCTCACGGTTTCTCCGCCTCTCCTCTCTCCTCGATGCTTGCAGACAGAACCAGAAATGGAACCGCACTCTCAGCTTCCTTCCTCACTCTCGGTCGATGATAACAGTGTGAGGGTGGAGTGTTATCTGAGGTAGGGAGTGTGCAGAGGTTATGGACTGGGATTGTGAAGTGGTGCTGCGGTTTGAGGATGGTTGAGTGTCGGAAGTGATTGAGTGTAGGGGTGGTGAAGCTGCGGTTGGCCGAATGGGGTGGTGGCTGATCATGATGTCCGAGGAGTTGTTTGGCTGCCTGGAATGGTTGTGGCCGTGGGGTAATTGTGTGACATTGTGAGGGTAGTTTAGTCTTTTCACTTCTCCTCCTATTATCCACTTAAGTCCTTGGTTCTAACTTAGCTCCAAAAATTGTCCCCGAGTGTGATTTGAACGCCTAATGATTCGCTAATCTTGCAAGGCTTTGGTTAACGAAATTTTATGTCTTAAATATGGTTAGAGTACTTGTAATGTTTTTATCTAGAATTTATCGGTTGCATAAAAAAAAATATTGAGATAACTAGCTACACTTAACCTTATTCGAAATTTAGAGTTAGCTATATAACAAAATTTAAGGAATTATTTTCAAGGAGTAAACTTAATATAACTCAGGAATTATTAACTTAGTGTAGCAAAGCTAAGTGCTTTAATAGTTAGCACCGTTGTATTATTTTGCACATGAAAATTATTATTATTATTATTTTTTATTTACTTGTTTAAAACAAATGAAATAATGTGGTAGATTAGAATAAGAACTACGAATGAAATTTGCACCAGTATATAAAAGTGAGTGAAAGTAATACTAGAAAAGATTTTAAAGAATACGAATGTTAAATACAAGTGAAATTGAAGTATGCATTGGTATTTCTTGCAAAATTCAAGGTTCTCACATCCTCCCCTCCTTACAATGAATTTTGTCCTCAAAATTCACACATTCTGGATAAATAAATCGGGATACTTTTTCTGCATTTCTTCTTCTAACTCCCAAGTTGCTTCCTCGAGTCCATGATTTTTTCACAAAATCTTCACCAACGGAATTTTCTTATTTCTCAACTCCTTCATTTCTCTTTCCAAAATCCTGACCGGTCCTTCTTCATATGTTAACGTCTCATCCATTTCAATTCCTTCCAGTGGCAGCACGTGACTTGGATCGGAGTAATATTTCCTAAGCATGGAGACGTGAAATACATCGTGAATCTTAGCCATGCTTGCAGCTAGCTTCAATTGATATGCTACCAACCCAACTCTCTTCAAAATTTCGAAAGGTCCGATATATCTTGGCTTCAGCTTCTTACCTTTCTTGGACACTACTCCGCCCTTCAAGGGTTTAATTCTGAGAAAAACCTTGTCTCCTACTTCGAATTCCAAATCTTTCCTCCTTGTGTCGGCGTAGCTCTTTTATCTACTCTGGGCAACTTGAAGCCTTTCTCTAATAAGTTTTACTTTTTCCTGTGCTTCCTCGATCCAAGGTATAGCTGTAGGGTCTACGACTTTCTTTTCTCCAACTTCATCCCAGTGAATCGTAGATCGGCACCTTCTTCCATATAAAGCCTCATATGGTGCCATCTGAATCGAAGCCTGATAGCTGTTATTATATGCGAATTCCACCAAGGTCATATATTGGCTCCACTTACCTCCAAAATCCAGTATACATGACCTCAGTAAATCCTCCAAAGTTTGAATTGTCCTTTCCGATTGCCCGTCGGTTTGGGGATGATACGCAGTACTAAACTTCAACTTGGTCCTCAAGGAATCCTAAAATTTCTGCCAAAAACGCGAGACAAATCTTGGGTCTCGATCAGACACGATACTCACTGGAATACCATATAACCTTAGGATCTCTTCTGAGTACAACTTGACAAATTTTTCCAATGTAAAACTCATGCTTACAGGTAAAAAGTGTGCAGACTTAGTAAGTCGATCGACTATTACCCAAATTGCATCAAAACCTTTTTGACTTTTAGGTAAGCCCGTTACAAAATCCATTGTTATGTGTTCCCATTTCCATTCAGGGATTTCTAACGGTTGCAGTAAACCAGAGGGCTTCTGATGTTCAGCTTTCACTTGTTGGCAGATCAAGCATCTTTGTACAAATGCTGCCACGTCCTTTTTCAAACCTTCCCACCAGTATAATCCCTTTACATCGTGATACATCTTAGTCACCCCTGGGTGTATAGTATACTTCGATCGATGTGATTCTTCTAAAATTTCTTTCCTTAACTCCTCATTTGCCGGAATCACAATTCGATCTCGAAACCTCAATACCCCCTCAGGCCCTAATTTGAAGTCTAGGGTTTCCCCTTTTTGCACTTTCTCCAAATTCTTCCGAATCATAGGGTCCGTTTTTTGGGCTTCCTTAATACGCTCTAGTAAAGGTGACTTCAATGATAAGTTCCCAAATAAAACCTTCAATTTCTCCAAGCGAGGGTTCCAGCCACTTATTTCTTCTAACATATCCCACTCATTTACCATTAACCCTGCTACTTGGGCCTTCCTACTTAGAGCGTCAGCCACCACATTGGCTTTTCCTGGATGGTAATTAATCGAGCAGTCGTAATCTTCCAGAAATTCTACCCATCGCTTTTGTCTCAAATTCAGCTCCTTTTGGGAGAACAAGTACTTGAGACTCTTATGATCCGTAAAAACCTCAAAAGTCACGCCGTACAAGTAGTGTCTCCATTTCTTCAAGGTGAAAATTACTGCGGCTAGTTCTAGGTCATGAGTTGGGTAGTTCTGTTCGTGGGGTTTCAATCTCCTAGAAGCATAAGCAACTACCTTACCCATTTGCATTAAAACACATCCCAGACCTTCTCTGGAAGCATCAGAATATACAGTATAACCTTCACCTCCATCAGGTAAAACTAAAACGGGAGCGGATGTTAACCGCTTCTTTAGTTCCTGAAAACTTGACTCACACTTCGGAGTCCAGACAAACTTGGCTCCTTTCTTGGTTAACTCAGTCATAGGTCCTGCAATTTTCAAGAAATCCTGGATAAATCGCCTATAATAACCTGCTAAGCCCAAGAAACTTCTAACTTCAGTTGGAGTTTTTGGTTGTTTCCAATTCGTAACGGCCTCAACTTTTGCCGGATCCACGGCAATTCCATCTTCAGAGACTCTGTGCCCTAGAAAAGATATTTCAGTCAACCAAAACTCACACTTGCTGAATTTGGCATACAGCTTATGTTCTCTTAGTATCTGCAAAACCACCTCTAAGTGCTTAGTATGTTCTTCTCGGGTCTTAGAGTAAATCAAGATATCATCTATGAAAACCACTACAAATTGATCTAGATACTTCTTAAAAATTCTCTGCATCAGATCCATGAAAGCAGCTGGTGCGTTGGTTAATCCAAAAGGCATGACTGCAAACTCAAAATGTCCATATCTCGTACTAAAAGCAGTCTTAGGTATATCTTCCTTCCTGATCTTCAACTGATAGTACCCTTGCCTTAAATCCAGCTTAGAGAAGACTACTGACCCTTGCAGTTGATCGAACAAGCTATCAATCAACGGTAGAGGGTATTTATTCTTAATTGTAGCCTCATTTAACCCTCGGTAATCGATACACAACCTCAAGCTTCCATCTTTTTTCTTCACAAATAGGACAGGTGCTCCCCAAGGTGAGTCACTCTCCTTCACAAAACCTTTCTCCAATAGATCCTGTAATTGGATTTTCAATTCTTTTAGTTCAGCAGGAGCCATTCGATACGGGGTCTTAGAAATTGGAGCCGTTCCAGGCATCAAGTCAATCTTAAATTCCACTTCTCTTTCCGGCGGTAAAGTCCTTAGCTCTTCGGGAAAAACATCCGAAAATTCCCGTACCACTGGTACATCCTCCAGCTTCACTTGATCACTGGGAGCGTTTATCAAGAAAGCTAAGAAACCTTGCGCTCCTTTAGACAACATTTTCCTAGCTCGAATTCCTGAGATTATAGCAGATGATGCTAACCTACCCTTGACATCTAACCTCAGGGTTGCTTCACCAGGTATACAAAATTCCACCACTTTCGCTCGGCAGTCAAGTTTAGCATGATGATGGCCTAGAAAATCCATTCCTATTATAACATCGTAACCTTTTATGTCCAGACTGATCAAATCCACTAGCATTTTACGCTCTCCAATCCAGAATTCACAATTCTTATAAGCCAGACTAGTGATTACATTCTTATTACCCATGGGTGTTCTAACTTCAAGATCGAAGGGTAATTTAACAGGTTGCACATCTATTCCAGACATAAAGGATGGATTAACGAATGAATGGGTTGCACCAGGGTCAATTAACACTTTAGCTAATCGGTGAAAGATCGGGAGTGTACCTTCCACCACTTCCGAGGCATCAGGTACAGGTTGGTCACCTATAGCATACACTCTGGCAGGAACTGTCGGCCGGCTCCCTCCAGAAGTGTTTGGTCTAGCATTTGGGGTAGTCCCACCTTGCATTGATGGACATCCGGAAATCTGGTGCTCGCTACTTCCGCATTTCAAGCACTTTCCTTGCCTCTTCCAGCAGCTATCCATAGTATGACCAGGTTTCTTACAGTATACACAAGTCATTTGGGGAATTATGGCTCGGCCTCCTTGCGAGGTATTCCTAGGTTGTCCTCTTCCAATCGGTCCCCCTCTATTTCCATTGTTTCTTCCCCCTGCATTTCTGGCCCCGGTTCCCCTTGCTTGCGCACCTCGCGGTGCTCCGGGACTAGTCATTCCGCCAGTTCCTCGGCCCATCTTAGCCGGTGGAGTATTTCCATACGTCGGCTCTCGACTACTGCTGGGGGTAAATCTTTTCTTAGCTTGAAAAGATTTCACTTGAGCTCTAGCTACTTCAACTCTCTGAGCTCTTTCGACAGCATCTGCGAAAGTATCTATTCTCACGGCGGCTAAACTTTCCTGTAGTTCCACATTCAAACCTTGCACAAACCTCCGAACACGCCTCTGCTCGGTGGCTACCAACTCAGGTGCACAGCGGGATAGCTTTGTGAACTGGATTTCATATTCGGCGACACTCATCGCCCCTTGCTTGCATCTAATGAAATCATCCTCTCTCTTCTCTTGAATGAGAGGTGGAAGGAATTTGGCATTGAACTCCCTTGTGAAGTTCATCCAAGTTCGTGGTGTATGATTAGTCTCCCAATGAACCCTCATTAGGTTCCACCAGGAGCGAGCGGCTCCCTCAAACTGGAAGGTGGCAAAAGTCACCTTTCGTTCCTCCGTATAGTTTAGGGCGGCGAAGATCTCAGTGATCCTCTCCCACCAGCCTTCGGCCACTTCCGGCTCGGGTCCTCCGTAGAATTTGGGGGGTCCAAACTTCAGGAACCTTTCCAGTGCCCGATCATCGGAATCAACTGGACTTCCCTGATGGCGCCCTGGTCTAGCAGCTTGGTGTTCAGTCAAGCGCTCTAGGACGTCAGTGATATGGTTAATAGCGGTGGCTACTCCGTCTCCGCCCCCGCCCCCTTGCCCTTGGTCTGGGTTGACCTCAGGCTCTCTATCTCTACCCGCTTCCGGGTGTTGTCTAGTGGGTCTCCCGCGGCCCCTTCCTATCACTTGGCGATCCATAGTCTAAGTTATGCCTATTATGGGAGGATCAAATGATTAGGCGAAGTGTTATTTATTTAGGCTTATTAATGTTTCCTTAGTAAGTAAAATTGATATGGAATGGAAGAAAAGTAAGTAAAACACTTAACATATATTTTCAGGTGAAAGTCATACAAATAATAGGTTGGGACATTCCCAGAAGGTAAGGCACATAACTAGCAAAAATACATACAAGTAATCCCTTAAACAAAATTAGGGAAATGGTGCCTCGGAAATAAGTCATCCACCTAGACAAAACTTGATGACCTAGCTAATGTCCCCCTATTCTAACCCTACATATCCAATATGGTCGAATCGATCCAAGCCTAACCCTCAGCAGGGCTATCGGGAGCTATGTCCTCCTCCGGGTCCTCCTCTGGATCCTCCTCCGGATCCTCCTCCGGATCCTCCTGCTCGACACTCTGAAGGATACTCGTGGCCTCATCTATCATCATCGCGGCATCTGCCCTGATGCCGACGCTCCTATCACGTATCCTTTCAGCCAATCGAGTCACCCTCGCTCTCTGACGCGCTATCTCCACGCGAGCGGCCTCCAGCCTAGCATGTTTCGCTGCTACCCTCTGCTCTAACTCTACTATGCGGTCGAACTGAGTGTCCACCATGATACTCAGCTCTTCTACATCCTGAGAAAAAGAGAAGTTAGCGTCCCTCAGCTGGCGACGCTCATCATCCAGGGATAGTACTAGCTCATTGGGGTAGGCATAAGTGGCCCTACACTGGCACCGAGGATGCCTATCAGTTGGGGTGTAACGGATATGGGCTCCTCCACCTCGTGGCCTATAAGAGATGGACCTAAGAGGCTCTATATGTCCATTAGACGCCCCATTACCATTAGCGTGTCCATTACCATTCTCCATACTTGCAAAAGAATTAAAACTTAGAGGTTAGAGCTCGAATAACTAATCGAATCGATATTACTTAAGATGTATCTAATGGTCTCAATTCTTTCTTCTAAAGAGTTCGGGGTTTCTGACTCGTATAGTATATCCCTCAAATAACTTTTCTAACCTAGTGCTCTGATACCACCTGTGGCGACCCCACTTCCCCCTAAGGCGAATCAAAGGGTTGGCGGGCCGTCTGCCCAGCTCTCGCCAGGACTCACGCAAGTATTCTAACCCAAAACCTTCCGACGGTTAACCTAAGCTATTACAATAATGATTCTTCCGAAACAAATCAATTTCTATCACCACATTAACTTCAGAGATAACAGCATATAACTTAGCCAATCGACGGTTCTTAAATACTTCCAGCGACGCTCGCAATAGATAGGGACATACTATACCAATACAAACATACAAATTGAGTATTAGAATTAGAGATTACACTTTTTCAGCTTCAAGTGGCAATCCAAAATGAAAAGTACGATGCTTAGCTTAGAATCCGTTACAAACCGAAAATTACAATCAAATTGTTCAAGTACAACCATAAGAAATATAAGCTGCTCAAATACTTTCAAACTTCACATCCTGTAAGGAAAACAAATAAACATGGGGTGAGCTAAAGCTCAGTGGTGCCCCAAAACATGCAGTCATGTAATTCAAACAGCGAGTAATAACTTAAACAAGTTAAACAATTAGGAAAGCGTGTAACACCACAAGGTAGGATACAGGGGCTCTCAGGAGCCATTTTCCTCGCTTGAGCACCGTTTATCGTAGTTGACCCTCCGTCAACTTTCACTACCTATAATCCATGTAGATCCACTCATTTTAATCCTAACCCGTCACCATTCATACCCCTGTCCCGGGCCCGAACGTCGACTAAGGACGCAGTATACTCGAGATATACTCGTAGATAATTGGTCGAGAGATTCACCCAACGACGTTTTTGTAGTTAGATTCAAGTGCCGAGGGATTCACCCAACGACGTAACTACTTTTAGATTCAAGGATTTACGAGAAAAATGATTCACGCAAGTCACCACTCGAACGGCTAGTGCGATAAAGTACACACTGCTCACTTCGATGGATCAAAACTCATTTTGCAATATATCACATATCGAGTCAAGAAAGCACTTAATTCAAGTAGGAAAAGAACAGGCAGGAACACTCACCAAGAGTGGAGTTCAGATATCAGGTTGGGAGTCAAATTCCGCGTCCTCGCGATATCCTAAAAACCAAATTTTTGAAACCATAAGTTTCTATTCAGTTTTTAAACTTATTCGTATAAGAATTTATTTAATATAATACTAGTTTACTTTCTCAAGAGATTTCAAAAATCTATTTAGATTGAAGCTTGACAAAAGTAGTAGAAATGTTCCTTATTTTTCCTTAGAAGGGTAACTAGTATTACTTACTAGAAACAAGTCGACAAACTTCTCAAAATCATAGTTAGAAAGTTACTTTGAACATTTCCCTAAAGTTACGGCTTTTGCAGAAATTATCCTTAAAAACTATTTTTCCTAGAATAGGGTTTCTTGCCGAGCAAGTCTCCCAAGCTTTTCACTGGGATTAGTAAAACTAGTATTTTAAAACTTTTCCTATAGTTAACTATACAAGTGCAAGGCTTATAGGAAGGAAAAGAATTGAAATAAGACTTGGAGTTTCCAAAAGTTATAGAACTTATTTACTGAAGCTATCGGGCTGGTTTGAGCCGAAGGAAATTATTGAATTGGAAAGTTTTAGGCAAAACGCTAGATATAGAGTTTTATAATATCATACTAGCTGGAAAATATTTTTGGTTAATTTTGAACGCAGCTACTCGAGTTCGCAAGGTCTATACAATTTCCCCCCGCTCCGATTCCATTTCGAGATCATAAAATGGATCAAAATATGGCAAAAATCACATAGCAAATTACTAAGGCTTCGTCAATCATTAGCCCTAGCTTTCAACAATTGCATTTCTGAATAAAATAAAATGGTCAACCAAGGCTTCATCAATCATTAGCACTTGGTTTCAGCTAACCCAACATAAGCAAATAAAATACGAGTGGAGTCCCAAGACATTCCAGCAATTAACTTCCATCATCCAATACTACTTTATAAAAAATCATTTCAATGGCTAAGGGCTTCGTCAATCATTAGCCCTTAGCACCCAAGATATCAAATGACTCATTGCCAAACAGTTTTCACAGACTACGTGTGCATTTTGTCATGCATTTCGGGTTTCTAACACCCCAAGGAAGAATTCTAAAGTCAAGCTGAAGATTCTGGTTCATAATCAAATTCGAGCAACAGGATTAGACATCCCAAAAAAATTCAAGAATCTGTCTAGCAAGCCACGGGTGAATCATGCATGAAGGAATTTTCTGTTTTCACTTTATTTATTCAGGTGAAGCAGGCTATTAAACTCTCACTTCCTCATGCCATTACTTAGCTAAACAATGCACAATTCCCGTTCAGGGGTTGAAGTTAAACCACTGTTATAGTCTTCAAAATTTCCAGGTTCAAGTTAACGGCAATTCAGAAAGAAATTCCAGCAATAACAATGGTTCTAAAACAGGATTTTCTTTGGTTAAAACAGAATTTTTGGTACTCTATTAGGACATGTAAACACGTAGCTAGCTAGTAAAGGTTTCCAAATCAAATCCAGGTTCAAGCTACAATTATACTCATCTAACACAAATCCAGAAATTATATCAGCTAGTCTCGAATGATCATCCATGAACCAATTTTTCTGCTTTCATTTTATTTTCTTGGTTAGCCGAGCTACTTGACCTCATGCAAGCTTTAATTAACATGTTGTTAACTGGCTAACATTTTTGGTTCAAGAATTAAATTCGAACAACAACAAGAGTCATCCAATTCTTCAAGAAAGATTCCAGCTAGCTTCGAAATACATGCATGGGACAGATTTCTGTTTTCGTTTTGTTTTTCTTGGTTAGCCGAGTTAATCATCCTTATGCCAGTCTCAAACATCATGTTGCTTGCTATATAAACATAGATATCCACTCAAATTATCACATTTAGTTACATTAGGCTGCACTTCAAAATTTCCAGCTCACGGTAATCCAATTCCTCAAACAGATTTTCTCACACCTCTGATTTCAACATCTGATCGAATCACTCTATGTGCAAGGCCATAATCCTCTCGTCTTGAGTTAGGTAACACAGCCGAAAGCTCAGGTTATCAATGGGGATAGTTAGGATTAAAATCACAGCTTGTCAAAATTAAGCAAATTAAGCAAATCATTTCCAAATTAGTCTCGGCAGAAAGTTTCCATCGAACCAGAATTTCCTAAGTTCCTTAATTCATCAATCAACTTCATAGAATTAACATGCAGAGTCCTAAGCATCTTAATCATTAAGTTTCACTCGGCTAATTACACTTGAGTGCTCAGGTTATCACATGAAAACAGAATTACAGCTACCTTTCCAAATCATTTCCTCGGCAGAAACATTTACATCAAAACAGATTTCTCATTCATTCTTCAACTTCATCTTCCGGATACATAGGTTGACATGCATGGTCTTAATCATAATAATCATCCAAGATCAGTTAGTTAATCACCAATGCATGCTCAAATCAATTCCAGAAAACACATTAGAGCTACATTCCTAACTCAGCTACTCGGCAGGGCATATAACTGAAACAGGAATTTTTCTAATATCTTAAATTCATCATCCGATGGTTCCACAGTACATGCATGCTTCAAGATAGCTCAAACTACCTCTGATTAGTCCTAAAATGATCCAGAATTTTACCTCACAGAAGCTCACTCACTCGACTGAATGCTGAGGTCTATCCCTCCCTCTCGGCTCTTCTCCTCACGCACGGCAAGCTGGTTCTGGTTGGGTTGCAGTGGGTGCAGCTAGTAATGGTGGAAGCTGGAAAACAATTGGCTGAGCTTGGAGAATGCAGTGGATAGTCTGCTCACGGTTTCTCCGCCTCTCCTCTCTCCTCGATGCTTGCGGACAGAACCAGAAATGGAACCGCACTCTCAGCTTCCTTCCTCACTCTCGGTCGATGATAACAATGTGAGGGTGGAGTGTTATCTGAGGTAGGGAGTGTGCAGAGGTTATGGACTGGGATTGTGAAGTGGTGCTGCGGTTTGAGGATGGTTGAGTGTCGGAAGTGATTGAGTGTAGGGGTGGTGAAGCTGCGGTTGGCCGAATGGGGTGGTGGCTGATCATGATGTCCGAGGAGTTGTTTGGCTGCCTGGAATGGTTGTGGCCGTGGGGTAATTGTGTGACATTGTGAGGGTAGTTTAGTCTTTTCACTTCTCCTCCTATTATCCACTTAAGTCCTTGGTTCTAACTTAGCTCCAAAAATTGTCCCCAAGTGTGATTTGAACGCCTAATGATTCGCTAATCTTGCAAGGCTTTGGTTAACGAAATTTTATGTCTTAAATATGGTTAGAGTACTTGTAATGTTTTTATCTAGAATTTATCGGTTGCATAAAAAAAATATTGAGATAACTAGCTACACTTAACCTTATTCGAAATTTAGAGTTAGCTATATAACAAAATTTAAGGAATTATTTTCAAGGAGTAAACTTAATATAACTCAGGAATTATTAACTTAGTGTAGCAAAGCTAAGTGCTTTAATAGTTAGCACCGTTGTATTATTTTGCACACGAAAATTATTATTATTATTTTTTTTATTTACTTGTTTAAAACAAATGAAATAATGTGGTAGATTAGAATAAGAACTACGAATGAAATTTGCACCAGTATATAAAAGTGAGTGAAAGTAATACTAGAAAAGATTTTAAAGAATACGAATGTTAAATACAAGTGAAATTGAAGTATGCATTGGTATTTCTTGCAAAATTCAAGGTTCTCACACCTACTATAGGGAGAACGGAGATAGTTTCATTGTTTTTTGGGGCAGTCAACTTTTTTACTGTTTCTGAGACATCATTATCTCTTCCAATGAAACTCACATCAATAGTAACAGAGTCAGTCTCTCTGTTCTTTAT